CGGTGCACTTAGCCCCAAACTCTCAGGGCTCAAATTGCAAAGATGTTTATTGAACTGAACCTCTTTAAAACTTTTTTCTTTAATATGAAGTTCTGCTGTACATTAGATGGGTGATAAAGTTTTAGAAAGGCTGAAAACTAAAATCTGTTCTACAAGAAGATAAGGAGGCAAAGCCCTGTATTTTATTTGAGCTATGGTGGATGCAAGAAAAACTACTTTAATAGGTACAATAGTAACAATATGTAAAGAACCATGTGACCAACCCATTCCCAAGGCTAAATCAACACCTTGTCAACCCAGAGCAACCATAGGAAAGAAAAACAAATGTCATTTTTTTTCAGCCTAAACTCCACTGAGACCCCCACACAATGAAATGACATTCCCAACAGATAGTATATGTTATAAAAGGTCACTGTCAGTAATTATACACCAGTGTACAATCTAGGAAGTCAATTACTTCATGTAGTAGTCTTTAGAAATAACATTTCTTACTCCCACTTCATTCATTTCAGAACATAAAATAAGACTAAGCTTCTAGACCTGTCTGAAGTACATTCTCAAAAGTTCCTTGAATAGAAATCTGGGAGCTTGTGAAACTTGAAGAAGTATCTGAGGTTTTAATTCTTAGGAAATTTTAATGTAGAAGAGGGAAATAGCAATCAACATACTTCAATGGCTGAAACTAAATGCTCTGGAGTACTAAAAAATGATAAAATACAAAACAAAACCTCTTTTATGAAAGTGGCTACAGTGGCAACCAGCGACTTCAACCAGAAAGCTTCATGACTGACTCCTCAGTTATCGTTGGGTTACCTGTTTAAAAGAATTTTCCAACATATTGTTGATACCAATCTAAGTGGGGTTGCAGAGGAGTTGTGGATAGAGCAGTGTCCGTAAAGAGGAGCAATATTTAAATCCACTGTATTAGATGATTAAAGACAAACGTTCTTCGTTGTTAAAGAAGACTCTCATTGGGACACTGCGGGAACTTTCCTAGAAAGTAAGGTGATATACTTCCATCTGCCTGTGAAAGCATACCACACTGTCACTGATCATGAAGTTGAAGTTAGGGGCTTCAGTAAAAAGAGCTGCCTTTCCTTCTCTACTTTTCAGAAAACCAACACCAAATACAAATATTAACACACAGAACAATCAAGCCTCAGTGGAGGGTAATCTACTGCTTTAAACATTTAGGTCACATGTGCTTGACCAAAACCCTTTCAAATTTATCCCAAATCTTAATTCACACAACTCCTCAACCTAAATTCAGAAGAATTTGACTACAACCTTATTATCATTTATAATGCTAAATAGTATCACTTTGTTACTATATAAAAACCAGCTCTTTGTCTTTTATTCCATTTGAAAGTACTGGCAGCTTAGTGAAAAAATGAAAACATTTGACATGTTGATAAGGTTTAAGAAACACTGGTACCTTAGAAATGAAAACCTTCTAGGTTCTAACACAGAAACTGCCAGCAAAGATGCACCAAACATACAAAGGTAAAAACACTCAATAGTTAAAACTTGCCATTATAGCATACTTAATTGGGGTTGTCAATTTGGTTGGAGGCCTGACACCGGTAACGTCAAAATGAAGGAAAACAGAAGCAAGTTCTTACGTTAACAATCAGCTTAACTATTGCAATCTAAGAAATGCAAATGAACTTCATAACTTCAGTTGAGGCTCACAGCTCAATACAAGTATGGGTGAAGTAGGGGTTAACTTGGCTCCTAGGGAGAATTTTGCCTATCTGGGCACTTAATGCACATCCAAGAACTTGGTAGAATCTTAATTGATTTATCAATAACAATGAAATGCTCAACTATCTTGCAGAAGTGTGTGTGTGCATACACACATGCACATACAGTGACTTTTGCATGGCTTTAAAGATACTGTTACTAGATGTATAACTTGCATAAGTAGGCTATTTCAAACACTTGCACTCTGGGGCAGAAGTATAGGAATGTACTCAAGTATGAAAAATTTACAAATTTGCTCATAAAATCAACCTCTGAAGGATTTTGCTTAGTTTACTTAAAACTCAAATGTTAACATAGTCTCATAAATTAGTACATACTGTCAACAATTTGCATCTCTAAGTTCCAAGTATTTAATATAGCTTATCATGTATTTCCAGAACTTGGGGGTTAAGGAATAAGTTGAACTATTCATAACATTCCAGGAACCACCAACCTACAGTCGGATTTGAAAAACTATACCCAGAATTTTGCCTACGTTAAGGGAAGGGGTTAATACATCCTTCTCTTTCAAATACTTTACGGTGACTACTAAGCCCACTAAATCCTTTTGCTGCAATTGGAAATGATCAAAGTCTTTCTACTTGTTTACTTCCAATTATTAACTGTAAATCTCTGTAGAAAAGATCATGCTATATAGCTGTCAAACCCAAAAGACTGCATAAACACATTCAAGCACTTTTTTGTGCTTCTTTTCCAAAGCATCTCTTTGCCATTATGACCTATGATGGCATTCAGCAAAATCTATAAAAGGCAGTAGACTTTAGGTCACGGTTCTAGGTGCATCCCATAGTAGAGGTTGGGAAAAGTTGTATTTCCGAAGGGGGAAAAGAGAAAGAGGAAAAAGAAGCTTGAAAGAAAGGAAACCTTCCTGCAAGACTAACGTCCAGTCACCATCATCACTCCAAAAAGCTCCAAATTTGAAATGGCCACTTCCCAGCGAGCACTTCCCAAATGATGTTTAAAGAACTTATTCAAGACTAATAACAAATAACACCTTGAAAACTTTACCATTTTAAACACAAATGCAGAAGACCTTGGAAACAACTGGGAACCGCCATCTTACAAGCCATCCAATTTCACACAAGTGTCCCTCCAACTTAAGTTAATAACATTTTTATTTTGGCTCTCCCCAGTCTAACATCCACCTTGGCGGGACCGCTGCCCCCCACGTAACCCGTCCCTATAAAATGGGGGCGTTCTCTGGCTGTTTAAACCCCTCAAAAGCCCTTTCTTTGGGAGAGGAGGGAAGCCACTTGACCCAAGCAGCTCCCGATTTCAGGAACCCGTCCCCGTTTCATCAAAATATACCTCTCAACAAAGGGCGCCGTGGCCGCGAGAGCCGCAGAGGCTGCAAATAGAAGTGTTCTTCTCGGGGGCCATGTGCATCGCGAGGGTGTAAAGGGGCGCTAAGGGGAGAAAGGAACTAAAACGTGGGGCCGCGCGCAGCGCGTCCGGGGCTGAGCGGGAGGCGGCTGGAGCGGCGCCGAGCCCGGCTGGCGGCGGCGGCGCGGCGCGGGCTGCGGGTCGGTCCCGGCGCCGCGGGAGTCGGCGGGCGGCGCGGGCGCGTGCTCGCGGGCGCGGGAGGCGCGCGGGGCCGGAGGGCGGCGGCGGCGGGCTTCGGCGCGGGGCTCGGCGCCCACGCTGTCAGCGCCCTTCTGGCCGGCGGGGCGAGGCGCGGGGCGGGGGGGTCGCTCCCGGGCCACCCGCGGCCGGCTCCAGCCCCGCGCGGCCCCAGCCGGCCCCCGGCCCAGGCCTGGAGGCGCCTCGCCTCTTACGTACCCGGAAAAAGCAGCCGGCGAGAGGCGATCGAAGCGGGCGGAAAAGACAATGAAAGTTAAAAGTCGTTCAGCAGAAAATGAATGTGAGCCAAGCGGCCATCTTGAAGCAAGCTGCAGACGCCGCTGTCAATGGGCAACGAGCGCAGCCGAGAGGAGCCGCGGCGGCCGCGCTCCGCTCATGCTGCCTCTCGAGCCCGGCCTCCTCCTCCTCCTCTGCCTCGGCCTCCTCCTCCTCCGCCTCGGCCTCCTCCTCCTCGGCCTCCAACGCCTCCTCCTTGGCCTCCTCCTCCTCCTCCTCCTCCTCTTCGGCCGCCGCCGCCTCCTCCCGCTCCGCACTCGGGGGAGGGAGCGCGCGGAGGGGGCGCGATCAGTATTATTCTGCGGGGCTGGGAGGTGTTTCTAATCCGGATCGGGGCTCCCTCGCCAACATCCCCATTGTCTCGCCCGGATCTCTGCCTTTAATACTACGATTATTATTTCATATTGCTATTGGAAGAGGAGGGCGGGTGAGGGGCGCTGTGTATGTGCGTGCGGAGAGGCGGGGGGAGGGGAGGGAGGATGAGGAGGGGGGAGGGGAGGGTGGAAAAAAAAATGCACCGCTGAAGGCAGAGTGGAAACTGACACCGGCTCCAAAATGGCTCAGAGTCCGCCCGCCCCCTCCCCTGCCCCCCCCACCGGGTCACGTGCTCCCCTCATTCCTTAAGGGCGGCCTGGGAATTAGTGTCGGTGTAGTCGGGCCGGTGGCTGCCCCCTCCCCTCCGAGCTGCGCGACCCGACCCCCTCCCCCTCGCTCAGTGCGGCTGCGGAGACGTTTCTCCACGACGCCACACGCGCTACCCGGTTCTCGACGCCGGCATCGCTCCGGCGCAGCTCGCAGCTCAGCCCAGCCCACCCCCTCCGTTATTTCTTTTTTTCTGCCGTACGCCTCCGCCCGCGGCACCCAAGTCCCCGGGCTCCAACAGAGGAGAGCGCTGGTCACCGCCCCCCTGGCGGCCCCGCCGCCAGCGAGGGCTGCGGCCCAGACTCCGGCACCGCGGCGCGGAACCCGCGCCCGAGTTGGGCTTATGGAAACAACAGCGCCCGCCTCTGTCTTCCCGCGGTCGCACCAGCTCCCGCCAGCGGCCGAGGAGGGGCGCGCACGGGCAGCTGTTCTCTCTGGCCAGGGACTCCGCGAGGGTGATGGCCCAGCGGGCAGCGGGAGCCCGGCGGGGGAGGGTCCGGCTGCGGGCAAGCCCTCCAGCACAGGTAACGGGACGGGCCAGCTCCACTCCGCAGAGCGACCGCGCCTGCTTTCCAAGTCTTGAAGTTGTAGTCTTCAACAAACCCCGGAGATCGCATCCTTTCCCACTGAGTTTAATTTTAATTCAGAGAAAAGGCGGTCGTTAAAAGTTAACGCTAATAGCTCTGTCTTCACAGTAATAATTGACACACAAAACTCACATCCAAACAAACGCTCAGTAGCTTTGGTGGGAACTTATTTATTCAGAATGTAAATACTGCCTTTTGTAAGACTTGAAAAATGATCAAAATTTACCAATGTACAATTAATAAAGATTCAAATAGGCAGAATTTCCTTCTTAACTCTTAAACAAGTGTAAAAAATGCGTCAAAGTTTATGAACGGCATAAATCCAAAAAGAACTTTCTTTTTAAAAGGAGTATATCCAGTTCGCACAAACGATGGTTCTGAGGTTCTGCCGACGGCAAGGAGCTCCTGGTCTTCTAGACCCGGGCGGATCGCTAAGTTCCCCAAGTTACAACTGAGTTGCTCTTTCCAGGCTTTTCGAAGCATCTTTCAGTTTCCCCACTAAGTCCTAAAAGACGTATATAATGCTAAGTTTTTAAGATAAAACACGGGAAAGAGGTACCTAAGTTTGAGAAAGATTCAAGAAAAAAGTCGGGAGACATTTGATAAAGTTTAAAATTCACGAGGATATTAACCTTTGACAGACCATCAAAAGAAGCTTTTCCTCTAAAAGAGTTAATCTTCAAATAGGCTACTTGCCCTCAGATTTGAAATATGATTTATAACCAAATCCTAACTGGAAAGACATATCTAAATTAAATTTCCCATGTTATTTTAACAAAGATTATGGTGTATTCACATTTTCTGAAAATTCGAAGTTTGATTAATGGTTACATTAAAAACTCTGGGGATGTCTTTTGGAAAGTTAAATTTCATCAAAATTTCAAGCAATGATCTTCATTTTTAAGTGGTAAGAAACAAATTCGCTGTCATGTCCACTAATTGATGTAATTTTTAATTTCCCCAGTCTTACATTGGCAATATAAAGTTTTAGAATTTTATGAATACTTTCCCATTTATTAAAAGTCATTTAAAACCACAGTTTTAAAATCCTGTTTTGAGAGTTTAATTCAATTTCTGAAAACAAAGAAGACATTTTAAAAGCCATGCTTGTAACTTTGCTTTGTCCTATAGGATCAAACTGATCACAAACAGAAGGAATTCTCCCTCAACACTATGTTTCAGAAGTTTATTTTAATTGGAGGGAACAGTAAATATATATCAATTCTCTATTAGTAACATTTTAATTTCAAAAGTGAAGCCTACATTAAAATTGTATTGCTTTTGAAGTCCCCTTCCCATTAAATCCTTAACCAACCTTCATTATCTACTGATACATGAGTTAGATTATTCTTCTTTTGAACTTTCTAAAAGCATTAATTCTCAGTTAAACTTCTATAAAAAGGTAGGCATATTCACAGGTCCTAATACTGTACCTGTAATTGTTCCATGTTGCAACTAAAACTAATTTCTGGATGGGATCGGGGATCAGTGTTCTAGAGAAGAAAAAAAAATGCTGTTTACTTAAATCAAGGAAATTAAACTCCATTATACATTTAATTTTTAGACAGGCTAATCCAAGGGCTAATGTATAAATACCTCTACATTTAAGGTCACCAAATATGCAGGTCTGTGTATCTTATGAAGTTGATTGGTCTAAAACAACACAACACATTTCAGTCTTTATATTTTTTAAAGTTTCCTAAGTAACCCTAGAGAACAGTTAAACTTTACCTTTATCTGATACTCCAAACGCCAAGAAACATCAGTTATATGAGGGAGAGATCTGCCTATACTGAAAGACACAAGCATAATTTTGAACATAATATCTACAGAAACCTTTCAGTATTTTTACTAAATATGGTGTCTACCTTCCAACCCCTCCCCCCACACACATAATTTTAATCCATTCTGAACTTGAAATATTGTTAAACTTCAGTTTCAAGTTCTGCACAGTAAAAGAACATTTTTTAAATTATCTCAATAAACTTATCTTTAAAAACATTAGCTTAACTTCAATTGTTTAACTTGCCCTTTGGCCCCTTTTCATTTGGTGAAGATCCCTGTTTTGTTTCATACCAGCATTCTCCATTCATACCTGCAAGTGAAAAGTAGCTCAACTTGACACCTTATAAAGGTACGTACCTTCCCAATAGGATTTCTAGGGAATCTTTATTATTCTGGAGGACAAAAAAAAAAAGAAAAAAGAAAGAAAACACAAATTTGCAAACAGAGTAGAAAAAAATAGTAATTCTTAATTTTAAAAAATTGATGTAAATAACCTGATATTCCGTGCAAAACAGTTCTGTTCGCTCTCTATCAAATTTACTGTCTTCTAGATAAGTGCTAAAGGAAAAAAAGCCAAAGTTTAGTTCCCATTTTAAATACTAAAATTGGAATCATAAAGTTATTTGCTAATAAGTGGAATTTAAGTAAATGTTATTTATACCTTAGAGTCGATTCGTCAGCTCTTTGCTTTCCTGCTTCCAGTATGTAAGTTGCAACTGCTGCATGGCAGTGTTTTAAAACCACTGGGTCAATATGTTTCAAGTCTGGGTGATCTAAAATAAATTGCCAGTGATGCCTGTAATAAATTTTTAGTCTTTTTTCTAAAAGGGATATTTTAATTTGGGTAAAACCCCCCCTTTGACAAGAGAACAAAAATGATTCCACTATAAGGACTGTCAATTATAAGTAAATGAGATGAGCAACGTCAGTGGCAAAACAATAGAGAGCACACAGCAATAATTTTACTGTTCCTGGTCTTTTTTGCTTTTAAAAAAACACTATGGTCCTAAAGAAAATAAAACCATATAGTGTTCATTCTAACACTGGATGGAGTAAATTCAGAAGAAAATAAGAACATAAATATTTTACATGGTAAAAATTTAAGAATGAATAAACATTCCCTCTAAAGATTAATTATAGAGTAAATTGCTCCATGGACATTAATACATCAAAGGAAGCGAGGGCACGAGTTCAGAATATTAAATATAATTTTCAAAATATTTTCAGGTTTTGACAGCCATCCTTTTTTTTTTTACCACCACCCAGGTGGTGGTTACTGTTTTCGTTTGAAGAACTTCCACTTTCATACTTTTTGTACAAGTGTTTAGTTTATGAAACCACAGAAAAAAAACACAAAAATTTGAATTGCTGGGATATTTATATTTAAGAAAATTATCTAAAAGCGATCTGTCTTAAAATATGTTTTCAACCCATACATACACCCACTCAGCAATCACTGACCACACCACTTAAAAGAGACTCGCCTCCTGGTAACTGGTGCGGAGCAAAACATTATGCACCATATCTTAACGTTCTAGGTGTAAAACATACCTAACTACAATGTTGGAGTGATCGTAGCAACTTGAGGTATTACTCTAAATTGTAAAGTATCGACACTGTTTGCCCTAGTAATTACTCTGGAAACAGACCCTTTAAAACCTTTGCCAGCCTAGCACTAAAAGCTTGAATTGCCAAAGAGCTCGCCTGATGAAATCCAAGTGTCAAACAGCCTTTTTCCCATACCAGGCTGAAAACCTTAGATGTTTAGGCCACAAACAAGACTTAAACTCGGGCTTTAGAAAGGAACAAAGAGCCTGGGAGGGGGTAATCAGGCCAGGAGCGTGTAGCCGGCTGTGTGCAGGTGCCGACAGGAGATAGAACAATGTTCAGGGTCTGCTTTGGGTTCTGGCAGAGCCACAACCCCACACTCAGCAGTCCGGTGCGAAGGGCAAAGCCCGGTGACTTCCTCTTCCCGGGGTTTTTACCCCTCTCGCAGCTTTCTGAGCGCCCCTCCACCCAGGCCGATCCAGCTCAGAGCCGAGCGGCTTACCTAACACGGCCTCGTCCGCCTGGGCGTCCAGTAGGCTCTGGAAAGCCGCCCGGAGGAGAAGCGTGAAGGCGTTGGAGTCAAAAGAGCCGGGATCAGCCAGCATCTGGAAGCCTTTCTGCACATACTCCGAGAGCTCCATTGTGAGCGCGCTGTGACCTTCGACACGCGCACCACGTGATACGTGCCGCGCGCTCAGCTGATGCGGCCGCGCGCGCACGCGGCTCCGGGCGGCAGCGCTGGCTGTGGGCCTCCGGGCTCAGAGTGTCCTCCGTTCGCCGCCTTTCCCTGGGCTCAAGTCACCCTGCCCTCGCCCCTAGCCGCCACCTCCTGCAACCCGCGCCCTGTTGTCGGCTGCCACTTCCTCCTGCACCGGCCGACAAATCTGCCAATCGTGAGCTAGAAGGGCAGCCCCGCGTGCCTGTGGACACGTCCAGTGCTTTCCCTTCCCCTTCGTGCTCACCTGGTACCGCCACCGGCTCCAGCAGGACTCCGTGGCCGCCTTCACTGACAGACCCCCTTGGGAGGTGGTGAAAGGTGTCAGAATCCCTCGCACCCCCACTTCTTTGAAAATACGCCTTCCCCACTCAGCGCGACAACCTGCGGAAAGCTTCAATTTGAGGCAACTGATTTCTAGTTTGGGGCGTTTCTTTTATTCATCTGCTTAACACCCCCGCACCCCCTTTTATGAAAGTGTTGACATCTAATTATGTAATTCTTGTTCTTCCTTTTTCATTGTCATTTCTGGAATATGGTAATTGATTCTTGCGTAGGGTATGCGTGTGTGTACACATACATAATACGTATAACTCGCGTGTGTACGTAATATACTAAAACGATTAAGGGGCTAATAAATTATTCACGAAGATGTTTGACAAAATTATTAAAATTTGCATATGCCGCTGCAAATAAGTACCTTTCAAAAGCAAACAAACACAAATTTTGTGTTACTGTACTCAGTACATCTATGGGTCCATTTTTAATTACTCAAAGAATCTTCATATATTTATATCACAGAGTAATCTTAGTAAAATATAGTTAGGAACGGCAAGAATTTTAATTAGAACTAACTTACTATTTTGGGTACCCGTAACTTTAAAGATTCAAATATTGTATAAAGTTTAACTTCTCCTTTATATTTCTACGAAGTTGGAGAATAAGAGTGATTCTTTAAAAAAAAACGCGAAGTAGATTACGCATTTTTGATCAATAGAATTTAAAAGAAAAAGTAAAAATGCCGGTCTTTTACGGGTGGAGGAGAAGGGTAAAGAACTAGAAAGGTGTTTTAGTCTTCAGCAGAGGTTATTTGAAATAGACTCAACGTGAAAGACTTTTCTAGGCATAATTTAGCTGCTTTTTTGGAAAAGAAAGTTTCTAATGAATAAAGCCAATATTTCACCTTGCACCAATACATGGAAAGCACCTCATATACAATAGGATGCAAGTGGAATAATTTAGCATCAGTAACAGACTACTAAATTCTTTGAAGGCTTTGAAAGGCATGTGAACTACCTCTTCAGTTCAATGAGCACGTAGGAAGGAGCAGTGAAGGATTTAAGAGTCCCCCTAGCCTCTTTATAAAACAAACACCTATTAATCATGTTCATCTTTTCTTTCCATCTCTTGTTTTCTTTCTAAACTCCTTGTTTCTCCTCAGTAGTAAAATCTCAGTCGACAAATTTCCAGATACCTGATTTACATAGGGGTATGTTTTACAGGGCAGAGTTGTGTAAATGTTAAACAATATTAACAACGCCCAGGTTCATTATGTTCATTACACATATATTTTATGACCTTGCATAACATTGATTGTTAATACTGTAATAAAATTTGAGTTGATAATTGTAATCATATTCAATTTGGTGTTGAAAAAGAAAACATTAATGCTTGAGTGTACATTTTTAAAAAAAATTTTTTAAGAGGGAAGGAAATACAATTAAATGGTTGTGAGTTTGTGGGCATAAAAGTTAGAAAATTCACAAGGATTATGTCTCTAATAGCTGTTATGTTACTCTCTTGTACAGATGTAATTACTTTCCCTTGTAGGGCATTTGTCTTCTTCTGCCTCAATTTATTTATGTGTTAGGCCCAAGTGATGGGTACATTTCCAGATCACACAAAAATTTTAACCATAATGTTTCCTGATGCTAGAAAAACTGAATTCTTCTACTGTAGGTACAATTATTTCAACTCCCTTTGAAGGAGGCACAGGATTAAGTATTTTTTTCAATGCAGACAGAACATGTGTGTCTTTGACAGTTCAGCCATTGAAATACATTGAAGTATGATACTCAAAATGGCATGATTATCCAGATGTAGACTCTCTTGGTTTCAGCAACAAAATGAGTATATTTTATGTTGTTAGAAAAACTAAGTACTAACACATTCTAAATGTGTGAAGAAAAAAAATATTTAAAATTTGTGCTTTAATCACTGAAAACCGCATTGGAGCTTTCACTAGAATGTTTAAAATTCTGTAGGCTTAAAGTCAATAGACTAAATTTGGCCTCAAAGAGCCTTTAAAAATAACAATCATGCACAGCTGAAAATAACAAAATAGATATTTAAACATTCTTACATTAATAATGAATTTTTCCTTTTATACTGCAAATATCAAGATAAACAATGCTGATAAATATGTTTTTCTTTTTGAAAATCTAGAGTTATTCAAAGAATTAGGAAGTATCATTTAAAACAATATTTTAAAATGCTTTGTATCCTTTGAACTGATTTTTTTCTTGTTTTGTTGAAACCAATTTAATATTGGCTTTTGCACTGGGAATACAATTAAACTGGTCTAGGGCATTTATAGGATTCATGTGGTCAGTTTTTCCCAAAGGCCTCATTGGTATTTTTGTTAGTTTTATGAAGTAAAATGTTTCTTTTATTATTTTAGATAGTATAAGTACTTTTGCTTTTGTGCAAAGAAAGCTGAAGAAAAGTATTCCTTTAGATTGAAGAGTTTGTTGAATATCCATGGGGAAGGGAAAAAAGCCAATATGCTTAAGCACACATGAGACATCCAGAAGTTTTACCTGGTGTATAAACTATTTGTTCTAGTGGGGTTCTTTTTTATTCCTGTCCATGGGATACCTGCTCATTTTCTAGGTAGAAGAAAGTTAAAAATGCTTAAAAATTACCTATACACAGGAAACCATTTTTCTCTGCCCCCCTTGTACTGATTCTTTGATAGTTAGTGATCTTCAAGCCTTGAGGTAAATATTAATAAAAATAAAATTTACTATTTTAAAGTTATTTTAACCACAAATGAACAGTTGGAGGGAATACTTAACTGAGTTATATATGACATTTGAATGTATAGGTAAAAATTATTTCAGTGAAGTTTATAACATCTATGTACATTCTTTTATTTTATTAAGTATCTTGGTAAGGCAAAGAGTAGGACTTGGAATCTGAATGGTCAAGTGTTTGCACATTCATGATCACAGAGTTCAGTGGTTTCAAATTGAGTCTTCTGTCACCTATGTTGTCAAACAGATGGCATCAAGTATTCAGAGGGGATGACAAAGCTTTTATTTTCAAATTAAGCATGTAATCTAATTCCTGATAATTTCTAAATGGTGATTGCTATAATAATTAATATAACCAAATAGAGCCTTTTTCCCTTTCACATAATATAGCCTATCTTGTATATATGGACTTTTAGATTAAACTCAAATTCATTTAAATGAAATTGTGCCTTAATATGTGAGGAAAGTGAAATGCTAGTTACATTCAAGAAACTAGAACCAAGGAATGAAAATCAATGATACAATGTTATCTAAAACACTTAGCAAAGTCATACTTATGGTTTTGCCCAAGTGTTTTGGATTTTTCTTCTAAAACTTTTATTCAAAATATTTTGGCTACATAGTACAATTGTTATTTCAGTAATATTTCCACAAGCTTGTACCATTTTAAAATCACATTTTTTAAGATAGTTGTATCAGGGAAATAAATATCAAGTATAAAACTTCAAAATGTGATAAAACAATAAACAATTAAATATCTTAAATCTAAGTTTTAACAGGATAAATTATCACACTAATAAAAAATTGAGTTTCTTCAGAAAATGTCTCAAAGCATTTCCTGAAGTTAGCAAACTTTAATTTTGTTAAACTTTGTAACAGAAAATTCTATAGTCAAGGTATTGTCAAAAAAGGAGAATACTTTTGAATTTGTGAAGTGAAATTTGAGTTATCATCAAGTATTATGCCATAATTCTACTAGCTTTGGGTCAGAATAAGATGACTATCATTAAAGGCCTGTACATAAAAATCAAATTATAATTTTTAATATAAAATCTTTGTATCTAATCAGTCTGAAGTTTTAAAAAGATTTTGTGCCATGCCTGACCTTTAGGGCTTCTTTTAGGAAGTTTGATCCCTTATTTTGAAGCAAAGCAATTAATATTACATAGCAATATCTGAGTCATACAGACTAAAATTGTGAAGTCTTCAGCTAATAAAAAATGAGGAATTGATTTTTTAAGGAAATGAGAATAAACAAATGCAGTTTCACAAGGCATAAAGACACATTTTAATTTAAAGGCCAGGAATTAAAAAGGAAAGCAATAATACTCCATATTACATTTAATGAGAAAAGAACAGGTTAAATTATGCCTTAGAATTTCTCTAAGTAGGCAAATAAAAACTAATAATTTATATTTAAATTCAGTAAGTGGTTTAAATGATTACAATTTACTTATCTTTTCATAGATTATAAAAAAAAACAAGTTTACTCCTCAAATCACATAATTCACATGCACTTTGCCAGTGATATGAACATTAGGAACAGACCAATCATCCAATAAATTCTGTCAAATATACAATTTAGGTAATAAGCACTAGTTCTACCTCAACAGCAGGTTGACTTTTTTCTCTTCTTAAATTATAAAGATTGCCACTTCAGCTGGAATGACCCATGGTTTAGCTACAAGAGAATGAAAATGAAGCATGGGCAAAGTTGAAACAAGTTTACTTGGATGAATACATCCAGTGAATTCTGTCATATATCTACAGACTGCCCTTTAAATTGTTAGCATATTTTTTTAAAAAAGAGAGATTAAATATTTTTTCAAAGAAAGAGAGAGTGAAAGAAAAAAGAAGGAAGGAAAACAAGAAAGAAATAGGAATGAATGAAGGAGAGGAAAGAAGGAAGAAAGGGAGGGAAGGAGCATAGTTTAGTTTTTCCCTTTGTGAGAAGAAACATCACAGAAAACTTATTGACTATTTATTTTCTCCCACATGATCCAATATAGCCAGATTCTCATAGCTACACTGAATTCAACTGACCCTCAAAATAATGCTTGGAGTAGACTGGAAGTTTCATCTGTCATGTCCAGAACCTAATCAGTTTTAAAATATCCTGTATCTCAATATTTAGATTATGAC